GTTTCTCTGTGTGTTTATCATTATATCTGTGGTGTGGACTCTGCTATTGAGAATATCTGAAAATGATTTTTAGAACTATATTCCTAGTTATCTTTATAGTTATCGTTCTTGGTGTAAACGGACCTAAGTTAATACACTCGTCAAGTAAAACATTTCACAAAGAAGCTTAGGCTTCAAATGATAAAACAACAGATAGGGCTTATCATTATAAAAAGAAGACAAAGTATTTGGACACATTCTGGTTGTCAAACGTTACTGGAACATTATCATAATGTAGATACCTCTGTGAACCTGAGGTGAAGTGAATTTAGTGTCCAAATATAGTGCTGTGTGCTATTTTTGTAGCTTATGAGATTTTTTGTTGATCTCACCCTCAGACACTCATGTGCTATCACTGACAATTAGTTAAAAAAGAGAATTTTTATACATAATGAAATGAAATCCACTACTGTGTACTATTTTTTTTATAGCTTATGAGATTTTTTCACCACTGTATCTCATGCTATGTTACCTAATTTCTTACTAATGCCGAGTTCACACTGCACGATTTTAGCCCGACAGTCGCCGACAGGTTTTGCGAAATCGCCGACAAATTCCGGACATCGGAGGCAAATCGGTGCTGGTTCACGCGAGTGACAATCACGCAGTGTGAATTATCAAAGACGCGATCTGAGGGAATCGCCAACACGATTACGATTCACAATCACGCTGTGTGCAATGAGTTCCGACTGAAAACTACATCGGCGATGGCCTACAGCCAATGAGAGAACAAGATACAGGGCAGAGGGAAGTTCGGGGAGGAGTTATAGACCAGAATATCAGTATTTTAATAGATATATGAACAATTATATCATACAGAAGCACAAACATTTGCTTGACCAGCCACAACATCAGCATAACAGTTACTGCAAAAGTATTTACCTCTTTGCAGAACACCCAATCCCTGTTCCCTGAATCTCCCTCCTATATAATCTGTTATTCTTTTTCTCCTTGTAGCTGGAAATCAGCTCACAGACAATTTGCGGGCTATATATATATTTTTTAAATAATTAGTCTTGCTCACGAGCAGAGGCGGACTTAACCATTAGGCAAAGGTAGGCGACCGCCTTGGGCCCCCAAAAGCCAAGGGCCCCCTAAAATGCTTTTTATATGCGAAATGCGCGTTCAATGCGGACGCACAAGTGGTTGCTCTGGTGTTCATTAGCACGACAACCGTCCGTGCGTCCGCGTTGAACGTGCTTCTTAGCAAAATTAGGGCGATGTAGAAAATGGGGACGGAATCCCGGAATCTATTCATAAAAACGGAATTTACTGTGTAAAGCGGAATGTGACGGAATGAACGGCGCAGACGCGCGTTTCGTTTGCTATTGCACTTGTCGTCTGTAGTAGCTAAATAGTATTTTTACCATTTAATATTCACATACACTAGTCCATATCGCGGTTTGATTGAAGTGTACTGAATTGCATTTGATTTATTCATTGAATATTTGACGAATTCCGTGACATTGCTCGTTACACAGTAAAC